TATTACAACTAAAGAGACACTTCTATATCAGTGGTATTAATTACATGTTAAGAAAATAGCAAGTGAAACTAAGCTGGGATTGTCCAAGTAGCCAAAGGGGAATTCTGACTGCTGGAGGATGAAGATGCCTGGCTTGCAGGCTCCTGGTACCCTCATGGTGACACTGGCTTTCCTGGAAGCTGAGGTCATGCAACTTTAATGTTTTAAATATGCCTAATTAAGCTAATATCCACCTTACATTTGACTGCTCTAGATGCAGTAAGATTCCTGTGCACAGATATCAGTATTTGTGGAAATGTTATATCTTATTCTACCCAATAGATAGATGCAGATCAGCACCAGAAGAAGATGGAGCACATATGGAGCACAGCTGGCAGACACCGTTCCCCACTGACTGCACCACTGCAGACCCTGCTGATCCTGCCACATGTGGAATACACAGCATACGAAATTCCTGGGATAAAGGCTGGGGATTTACAATCGCCCTTTTCAAGTCCCAGACTGACAAAACTGGGTTTTATCTGGATGAGGTTCCAGTGTGAGACTCCTGGCACTGTATTACTCTAAACACGGTTTAGCCTGAGGCTGGTTCCCAAAGAGGGCACAGCCCTGGGCATCACTTACCCTGCAGTGGCTGGCACCGGGCTGGCAGTCACTGAGCAGGGGTGAGGTCGCCGTGAGACTGTGTTCCTGATCCTCTCTGAAGATGCTGATCCGCTGGGCAGTCAGCGCCGTGGGCCAGTAGAACCTGTTCTCCAGCGCTTCCCCAGCCCCGCAGAAATGGTCCTCTGGCTCGAAGCTGTGGCGCAGGAACCGCCGCGAGTGCTCCTTGGCCGGGGGCTCCAGCTCCTGCCCGTCCTCATAGACTTGTTTTAACACTCGACCGCTGTAAGCTGAGGATATTTTGAACCTCACCTTGCGGGGCCGTCCTTCGTGCCGGGGGCTGAGTTTCTTCTGGGGCTCATCCATTATCGGGGTTTCAAGCTGCAGGTCCTGGAGGATCAACTCCAAGAGCTATGGATCCAAAAGAAAATGCTCCCAGCTTTCCCCCACCACATGATGTATAATTCAAGGTTTCTAGTAGTTCCTCTCATCTTACAGCATAACTGACACCACTGTATTAAATATTGATAGAAATTCACAAAGAGAAAATATCGCTGGTAGTGAAGTCAAAGGCGGGTTGGTGAGTAGGGGCCAGGCTGGACACCACAGGATGAAAGGAGTTAACCTAGAAGGAGAGGATTAAATAGGAAACTCTGCCCATGTTCTGAAACCATGGAAATGTTTCTACCATGTGCCGTGATAAGAACTACCCCAAATACACCATCCCAGCAGCTTTTCACAATTTTCTGACAAGGTGAGAAGTCAAAAAGACAGGTTCACAGAAAAAGCAATCCAGCCTCACAAATTGAAAATGTGAATAATTCCTCTTCCATTCTTGCACTGAAACCCTGAGAGTACAAAGCTCCGTTTCATTTTAATCCAATGTGTTCCTCTACAGGCTGGTGAGATCTAATTAAGATTTTCTCTCTCTTTAGCTTTCAATCCCTATTTGTAATTCTTTCTGCCTTTTAGTGGCTTTTGACCATTCTGGGTTTGCTTTTCATTTTTAGAAGACATTCACCTGCTGAGAGCCCTCTGCTCACCTGCAGAGCCTTGCCTGGCTCAAGGAGCACAGGAGGTACAGCTATCCCAGGAGGCAAGGCAGGGTTTGTAGAGGTGCTGGGCAGGAGGGGATGAGACCCTAGGCCATCGTGGGGAAGAGCCATCAGCACTGGGCAGGTCCCTGCTCCACACAGCAGCAGCTCTGCAGGGTACCCCTGACTGAGGGACTTCAGTTCCCCGACACTCCCAGACCTCCATCCCCAGGCAGTGAACCATGTCCCAGGCAGCTTCCCAGGACAGCCTGCCCTCAGAGGTCCCACTGGTACAACCCTGAAGCTGGTACCTCACTGGCATTGCCCCTCTGTCACAGTGGGGGTTTGGTTCCTGTGCCCATCCCTCAGGCTACTCTGTCCTTTTGAGGGGTAAAATAAAGAGCATGAGTGGTACAAAATGCATCTATGGGATACCTGTTGTCTGGGCTTTAAACATCTCCCAGTACCTACTTGTATCAAGTAGACACAACAGGAGTTAAAATACCATTTTTTTTTTCAATTCCAAGATTTCAGTAAATTTCCACCACTACATGCAGTGTTATTGAGTGGGACTTTGCCTCAGCAGGAGGTAGGCAGAGAGCTTCATTTATCTTCTTTTAGTTCAAACCCACCACTTTTAAAGCTTAATACTCTCAATAGGTTAATTCATTATGTTCATTAAGAGTTTGTTGGTGAAATCCTAGAACAACAGTTTAGAAGCTGCCTGCTAACAATCCACCACACAGAGCTTCCACCAACCGAAGTCACCACAAGCAGTTTCTGTCATGACAGACTCTGCTCTTGCAGGTCCCCTGGGCTGCTGGAAGCAGGACATGTAAAAGACGTGTCTTGCACCAGGAGAACATGCCTGAGCACGCCTGGGTAAACACAGAGCCCCGGAGACGCCCTTGGCATCTCCAAAACACTACTGTAATGCTGATGCCAGGCTCCCATCCTATCTCACACAGGAGGATCTCACTTTATATGAAAACCTCGATTTGCATGAATCACACTATGTTCTTGCTGCATTCACTTGGGAAGCCTGATCCACCCCTTTCCCTGTAAGCCCTAGTGAATCAGGCCTCGGAATTGCTGCTTTTCAAAGGGTCCTCAGCAGCCATAATCTGACACAAATCACACTGTGTGAAGATACCTTAATTGGAGTTCATTTTCTTTTGATTAAGGGAACAATCAGACAGGAAAAGAAGTTCAAAGCAGCAATGAGAGAACAGAGTAAGAACACCACTGCAAGCCAAGCAAAGTGACTCCCGGCCATACAGTTACTTACAGGTGCTGCCACAGCACAAAACCACCTGGCCCTGTAACTGTCCCTCTGAAACATCCCATCCTCTACAGGACTCTCAGCTGTGCACAAACAGCCTGTGGCTCCTGCACAGGGCTGTGGTTGGGGGAAGCTCAGCCTTCTGCCCAAGTGTCCTGCAGCCACACACTCCCTGTGTCCCCCCTGGGCTGGGACACAGGCTGTGGCTCAGGCTGTTTGTTCCTCACTCCCACAGCTACACCCTCTGTTTATGTCTTTGTACAGATGAATCTTGCAAAGAAAAGATCCCCAAACAGACTTTCTGCATTTCTTAGCTGTTCTGAACAGCTCAAGCCAATCTTTCCACATTAAATATCCCAAACAGGGATTTTCCGAGGCCATCCCCAAAGCTGATCCCATCCCTCTCCAGTCCCATACGGTGCAGCGTGCCAGGGGCAGGCACAGAGCATAGCAAGGCTGGCAGTGGTGGGTGTAGGACTGGTGGGCTGGAGGAGCCCCCAGTGTAGCCCTGCAGCTCCCAGGGGCCAGCGGGGGTTTGTTTCCCACAGCTCCCACAAGTCTTACTAAAAATGCAACAATAATAATTTTACATTCAGCAGTGAAATCATTAAGCTTCACGATCTAGATCATCATGGCACTATATTTGACTTCAAAACTCTGTTCCACTGCATTTTAATGATATCTGTCTTTCAAGCGTGGGGCCTCTCCTCACCCTGTTCCCCACAGCAGGAACAGGAAGGATTGGGGAAGCCAGAGGCTCTGCAGAACAAAGAGCCAGCCCTTACCCTGAGGAGCACAACATGCTGGGTTAGATCTATTGCAGCAAAGCAGGGCCAAAAGAAGAGCCACAGTGAGCTGGACTTGAGGCTTTGAAGGCATGTTTCCACCTGCAAGTTTTGATGGAAAATGTTTTGTTATGCTGTGCTTCCTTTGAGCAAGCACTGCAGCCCTCCTTCCCCTGGGAACACAGGGAGGCAGCGAGCAGGATAAGGACAAGCATTGGGGTTTCGGCTGCAGCAATGCCCAAAAGCTCCAGTCCTGCCCCGCTGCTCACATCACTCTGAGCACGTGCAGCATCCTAAAGTGAGGCGCCAGGACACCGAGGCTGTTTCTCAACATGCCATGTGGCAACTGGAAAGAGAAAGGCTTGGGAGGGCATACACAGGCAGCACAGCCATCACTCCCTCTGGCCTGGCAGTCTGTGCCTGGATTTCATCATTCCTTGTGCCAGGGGATACCAGCATCTGCAGCCAGAAGCAAACCTTAAAAAACACGAGTATTCTGCAAATTACTGCTCTGGAGTTTCCTATCCAGCAGCATCAAGACAGTCTCAGCTGAAACTTTTATACTGGGGCCTTACAAACTCGTCCACATGAGCCAAGACAGAAGGTCTGCTTCCAGCTGCCTCCCATTTATCTCTGCCAGCAGCTCATAACATCTGTAATCTTTCATCTGACATTAAACATCACATCATCTTTTAAATGAACAAATTTAAAAGTCTGAAGAATTTTCTAAATATGAGCTGCCCCAGCCAGACCTGGTGGACCACGTGGGTCACACAGTGCTCAGTGCTGGCTGTGCCATGTTCAGGGTTTGGTTTGGGATCACCAGCATGGAAGCAACTTCAGGAGGTACCTAATCCAGCCTCCCACACAAAGCAGCCTGGTCAGCGTCCCTGGTCCTACAGAGAGGCACAGTTCTGGATTTGTTTAATTTCATCAGCAGAAAACAGTCATGAAAAAGCAACATACATGAACTACAATGTGTGGCACCAGCACAAGCAGCCCTGACACCCATTAGCCCAACACCACCATTTCCAAATCATGGAAAACATTGCAGAATTGGCTTGGGTATAATGTTCAGATCAGGAGGCACTAAGCCATGTCTCCAGTTGGGGAGGGAAGCAGCCTGACCTGCACCAAACTCACTACAAGCACGTGCATCCATTGGGAATCAGATGCTGATTGCTCACCACCAGCCCTGGATTAACAACTCCCACCATGGGCGTTCCCAAGCATCTCTCCTCCTGCATCCAAACTAATTGTTCCAAAAAGGGCTGAAGCCTGTCGTCAGTACATCCCACACAGGCCAAGGGACTGGGACACAGCAGGAATGAAGCCACTGGTGTTGTGAATGAGAATCAGCAGCCTGGTGCATACGGCAGCTAAAGCCAGCCTAATTGCATATGGATTTAGCTCAGGGTTGGATTCTCTGATGTCTGTTACAATGCACTTGGAGCACATCTAACATCTCCTCGGGGAGTCCTGAGCACCTAATTAGATCTGAACTAAAGTGTGTGATGTCATACTGCATCATCTCTCTTCATGAAGAGGCTAACAGGGTTTCCTTCTTTTGTGCTGTTTTCACAAAGTCACAGGATATTTAAAATTCTGAATTTACACTTTAACACTGAGCTGGATTCACAAGTTATGAGGGTGCACAGATACAGAGCACCCTTTAGAGTTCACAGGACTTCATTTTTCTAGGAACCCAAGGTAAGAAGGTTCCCTTCTGCCAGCACAAGGCAAGGCCCGCCGCACATTCCTGGAGGCTGAAGTCAGTGGGAGTGGAGGAAGCCCAGCACCTCCAGGACAGCAGGCAGGCTCCTTGATGACAGTCAGTTTACTCTGCACCCACCTCAGCCCTGGAGACTCTTACCTGGGCAGGTAAGAGTCCTAAGTAAGCATAAAAATCCTGAAGTCACAGAGAAACAAACAGGAAAAAGAGCTTCAAAGAGGAAAATTCCCGTGGTTGAGTTTTACCTATGGAGACAAATTTCCCTGGGCTCCTCCTCAGGGCAGCAGCACAACCTGGGAGCAGAGTCCCAGAGAACACAGACACAGTGGGCAGGGAACAGCCATGGGGGCACCACAGACATGGAAACTCTGTGCCAACACAGAGTAACTTCACCATGAGGACTCCAGCCCCAGTGTGTGTTTTCAGTGGGCTCATGAGCAGCCTGGCCCTGCTCCTGCTCCCCAGACCTTCTTCCACAGGGAGCACTGCTCTCTGCAAGCAGGAGCTCCAGGAGAAGCCAACTGAAACTGAGC